AGACGACGGTTGACGGAGAGGGAAGGGAACGGCGGGTTTTGTCACCGGTGGAGAGGGAAGTGGGGGGCGAAGTGTGAAATCGTCACAGACAAAATCACGAAGGGTAGAAATTTTAAAATGAATGAATGGGTTTGGGTCAACAATTGATTCAATTGAATTTTGATATGAATGGGTCTAAAACGAATCATGACATTGCACAATTGGACTTCTCTCTCTGGACTGGATAGAGAATTGGGTTACTGGATTAAACAAACAAACAAACCTTAATTAGAAAAAAATAATAATAATAAATTATTTTTTGGCCCAAAAGTCCAGTGCGAGCATCTGCCCGCACTGGACGTATAGTGGCTCCGCCCCTGACCACCATCCCACCACCTCACCGCCAGATCCACCACCAACAAAACCACCCAAAACTCCAACAACACGAAAGCACTGAAATGACCACCACCGTTTCGACCAAAAAAAAAAAAAAACCACCACCGAATTGCACATTTGCTCAATGATCAACGCCCCCAAATCATCGCAAAGAGAACAAAAAATCATCAACCACCACGACTTCATAGCATCTATTTTGGAGAAATAAAACTCAGGAAAAAGAAAAATAATAACAGATTTGGCACTAAGGCGGCTATGTAGCATCGATACTACTCGAAGCAACAATGAGCGCCATCGATGCTTCTGTGTAGTGCGGGATAGTGCCTGCATCAAACTGTGATGAGGATTTCTCCGACGAAGGTCCTGTGGTGTTGTATATGGAGGGGGGTGAACACTTTTAGTCCATTTTACATCACCCTCTTCCCTTTAGCACGGATTTCATAATTTGTAATTATTCTCGTTAAACTAGTGAATTTCTATTCCATTCTCCCTTCGGGCAAATTTCATAGCATCTAGGCATTTTTGCCAAAGTTCACGAAGTTTCTACTCTCAATAACAACTTTCTCAACATCATCTAGGCATTCTCGCAAGTCTATTTACTCTTAAAAGTATTCTAATTCAACAATATTGTTACTTTTTCTCAATGAAATCGAGTAAAAAATCAAAGTGAAGATTCAACAAGCGATTTAACATTAAACATACCTAAATGAACTTACAGAAAATGCATTAGTTTGTAAACTCAGTTAAAGGAGAAAAAAATGGGTAAAAGTTCTTATTTACATCCATATAGAAGAGGCCAAAGGAAGATAAAAAGGAACAATCGCGAACGAGTTTACTCGTCCAAGATCTAGCTGTAGCTATCTTGAATTTCAATATCACAGTATTCTATTTCTTTCTAATCTCTCCCAGTTGTAGTAGAGTAACGGAAAATAACATATACAAGCTAATGGTGCTCTTCATGATTAGGTAGAGTCGGATTCTTTCTGAATGCGTGCTTCCTGCAGCGCTCAAAAATGCTATCATATATCAGATCGAATTGAGTTCCCGCCCTTTCCCGGTTCACAATGAAAAGAATATGATCGCCTTCCACAATCTTGTAATACCTAGATTAAAAAGATCACTTACATTAAGAAATACAGTAGTTCGACTTGAGCAAAACTCGACTTATTATCACTCTTTTCCATCACACTTTAGCTTCGTAGAGAAAACATATGCAAATAAGACAAGTGAACAGAACCTAGTTTGTGCTCGACAAAAGTAAATAATTTTCAC